GTATACATATATATCAGTATTAATCTATTTATTCCACTTTAGATACGCAAGGTTTTACGAGTGCGAAGACAATTCGAGGATGTAACAGTTTCAAGTGTTATAGTTACATCAGAAGCTAATGGACGAGAAAAACGTCTGTAAGTTACAAGTGTATTATTAAAAATCAATTCATTAACAAAGAAATATATTTCTAGTTCACTTGCAAAACGTCAATTAAATTCAACAGTTGTCTTAGCTGTTAAGTTCGTCATCTTCTTTGCTAATACATGTGACTATGGATGTCAACTAAACGTTGGCCATATATTTAAATCTCTACTTGAAAATAATTTGCCATCTGCTTTATTTCTCATTAATGTTCCAATTCTTAATAAAAATGGAGAACTGATTGCAACGATATCCTCAATTCCTATTATTGGAGTTTTATCAATTACAAATATATGTAAGTTGATTTGATTTTTGATAACCATTGCCCATTTAAAAATAAAAGGTGGGTAAATCTTTCGTAAATAACTTTTCATAGGAGCAAGATAGAGAGCTGTGGTTTTCACCATTGGAAAGAGAAGGCGAAGATGCATCGAATCGTATAATATAGGTTTTCACAGGAGGCTCTTTAAAGTTTTCTTAATCAATTTTCTAAACAAATGCCGAAAAATTGAGTTTCTATTTTATGACGAAAACGCAAAAAAAGTAATTTTTTTCATAGAAATTAACGAAAAAATCGGCTAAGAATTTCCACTAAGATATTTATATCTTCTGAACGAATAGATCTGAAAATCTTGGCCTTGTGTATAGTTTGTAGATCTTCTGTTAGCGATTCAAATGCACAGGAAATTATTGAAAAATTACTTTAGTCACCTTACGGAATATATTCACTTTCAAAAACGTCGCTTCAAGTCTTTGAAATATACAGTTCGATGCGTCTCCATCTCCTCTTTCATTCGTGAAAACTTAACTCTCTACCTTGCTCCAGTCAAAAGCTATTCAAAAAATATTGATCTGCCTTTTATTTTGAAATGTACAATATTATTTTTATATTTTTCTCTTCTACTTAGATCCTGGAAGGTATCCTTTCGTTGCACCAACATTACGCCCAACGATTACTGTAACAAAAGCAACAAAACGAACAACAAAAACAACAATAACAACAACAACACCTGTACGATCAGTCAACATGGGATAAAGTTTTAATCAGTTACCACTTTCAATTGACTGTTTATCGAACATTTCGGATAATGACCGCAATCTGCTTCAATCACATCTCGCTCTATATTAACAGAAACACTATTTATTTTATACTAAAACAGAAAAAAAGAAAACAACATTAACCCGAAGTAACTTTAACTAACAATTGATTTTGTTCATCATATTTTTCATTGATTAAGACTTTTTTTCAACACTTCATCTATCTGATTCTATTCTTGTTCTATTCATTGTGTTTTTTCACGTAATTGTCGATCACGATTGAGTATAGCTTCATTTTTTTCATCAATACCCATATCTAACGAATATTTCTGCATAAAAAAAATTCAAATAAAGAAGTTGTGTCAAATTATGAATCAAACATCCCAAACAATTTTAACCTAATTTTATTAGCCTGAGAATCAGCATGGAACTCTGATTATTTTTTACAAGTTTATTTTATACTTTAAACACAACTCAATTTTTCACACGTAAAGGTCTCCCAAAGTATCAAAAAATTTTTTTTCGTCCCCATTCTCTTGGAGAAGTGCTAATTCCGCGAAAGGCAAAAAATCGGAAGGCGAAATCCCGAAACACAAAATCTTGAAAGTTCAAAAAACAATAGATCACACTGAATGGCTGATGAGTCATTCTGTTCTCTTCGCAACTCACTCTTTCTGTATATACAACTGTATGCGCGCATAAAGAACACGTGGGGATAAGGCTGTTTTCTCGCCCAAAAAATTTCTCAAAAAGAATTATATATTCGGAATCAGCATTAAATTCTGAGTGAGATGAGGTACTTTTTTTTGTCGAAAAACGATTTTCATTTTTCACAGTTCATTGGGCACCTGTAAGGGATATCAGGACCATCGAAAGTTTTTTTTTTCAGAATTTTAATGAATTTAACATCATCTGATGCAAAATTTAGTGCTGATTTCGAATTTCAAATTGAAATTAAAAAAAAATAGAGTTTTGGTAGAAAAAAATTTGATTCACTGTAGGATGCTAGGGAGGGTCTACTTCCAGTTATCGTGCACAACTGACCTAGTGACACCATTCGAAAGTTTGAAATACATTTATTAATGTGTGAAATTGCTTTCCCAACCAGAAATAAAAAAGAGAATATGTCTGACGTCGAGTTTTGGTGAGTTTTAGATCCAAATAGTCAAAAAACCAACAAAAACCCCGGTTTTGGGGCCTTTAGCTCCAGATAGAAGGGGTAAGAAAACCTCTAACCAATGAGTGACATATATAGATTGATGCAGTTTTTCACGCTCTTTCCGAATATTACCTCAGAAACAAGAAAAAAAATGAAGAACATGGTCAAATACTGGAAATACTGGGGTCAAATCAAGTTTTCGGCCCTTTAACCCCACATAAGTGGGATAAAGAAGTATCTAACCAATGAGTGACATATATAGATCGATGCAGGTTTTCACACTCTTTCCGAATATAACCTCAGAAACAAGAAAAAAAATGAAGAACATGATCAAATACCGGATATACTGGGGTCAAATCAAGTTTCGGCCCTTTAACCCCATATAAGTGGGATAAAGAAGTATCTAACCAATGAGTGACATATATAGATCGATGCAGTTCTTCACGCTCTTTCAAAAAATATAACTTCAAAAATACGAACAAAAATGCAGAGCATGGTCAGATAGTGGAAATACTGGGATGGAAGCGGGTTGTAGAAAGGGATCTCATGTCATTTGGAACTTTTTTGTTCGTAATGCTCAATTCCGACAGAGCGAGCAACAACCGAAGATATATTGATGTTGACAGAGCTGTTAGCGACTGCATAAAGCAGTGTTAATCTCGAGCGGCACGTAGAGCCCATTCTGTCTTCGATTGGGGTATTTTTTGTTTTTTTTCATTTCTTTTTAAAGTTGTTCAACGTTTAAAGTTTTTTCGATAAATGAAAACTAATATGTACAAAAACGATAATAGATAGCTTGATTAGAGAATGAATTTCAATCGAGAAAGAAATATGAAAATATTGAAAGAATAATGAATGATAAAGGTATTAAGTTAGGTAGTATAGTGTATTTGGATCGTCTTCATCATCACTTGTATTCGTATCTGACATCTCTGAATAGTCTACAGCATCAGTTAATGATGTGTGGTACTTGGATGATTGTGGTTGTAGATGTTGAGGATTATACCTGGCAAAAGCTAGATAATACATAACCGAAGCTATGTGAGCGCAACAACCAACTACACGACTTCCGTTTGGGCATTTGCAATACCAACCCGTAATGTTGTGTGTATTATATTGTATATGAGTGAATTGCAACTTTTTGGTAAGATTGAGCGCGAAAAAATGAAAGTGAACGTAAACAAGTTTTGAATAGTGGATTTTATTATGCTCTACGCCGGTAGTATATAGCAAAAGTTTCCCAACACTTTATCGATTATTAAGGGAGATACATGCTCTACAAATGCGCGAATTTTATATTAGTGTTATTTGCTACAAATTGACGCTCTAAACCGGTTTCTATGCATTTTATGAGAAATAAGTCTCGAAAGCGACCTCTAAACTATCTTGTGAACGTTGATCTAAATTCGGGGCACACTTTCGTGTTCCACTATGCGTTCATACTAGGCCGTTAGATAGCTTTAACTTATGTTTTTACAGGTGAAAATCAAGTTTAAAGATCTTATATGCATTTTCTATACATCTTCAGTGTATTTTCACACATAGTACTAAAAAAAAAGTTATACAAAAAAGTAAAACACAGTAAAGTAAAATTTTCTATATTCTTATTCTCTATTTGCAAAAGCATATCACTTACATCAATTTCTGATATAAACTTCTTTATAAATTCCTTCATCAATATAGACATTGCAACTTTTGTAGAAACTGAAGCTGTACAATTAAGTATTTTTTTCTTTTGTCATTCACAAAAGATAATAACAATATTTTCTCGACTTAATTTAGCCGAACTTTCTTTAAATTCATTTATTTCGATATCATCTTTTGCTAAATCATATAAATCAACCGGTGTAGAATCTATAATAGCTTTTATACATGAATATTTATTCTTCAATTGGTGCAATTTTTTCGTATTTGAGTTGAGGATTTAGACATATTATACATAAGCAGCTTCTCCAACTATCATGATTAGGTTTTTGGATGTAAGATGGAACATATCGTGTAAATGTAACATAATCAATATCAATATTACTTTCTAATTCGAATTGTTGATGAAGTATGTTCAAGTGATTAAGACGATATTGGATTTGATGACCATCGATTTGTTTGTGTTTATCAGGACATAACTTTGAAATGTCGTCACGAGATAGAAAATCTTCAATCTGAGTTTGAAGTGATGACTGTGATGGTTCTTTTGGTGCACTTCGTTTTGAAAGATTAATACCAAATTTATGTTTGATTTGATCTGATATACCACGAGAAAGATTTTCTTTTTTATCTTTAAGACGTAATGCAGCACGTTTTTTGGCATTTGGACTAACATTATCAAAAAAAACTTTTGATGGTGAATCATGTGGTGGTGTTAAAGGTCGAGATGCACGAAGTTTTTCAACTTCTTTTGTTAATGTTCTTACTGTCTCTCGTAATTCAGCATTTTCATTTTTTAATTTTGAAATATTCATTTTTCGACGTTTTTGACCTTCTTTTTTTCGTAAATCAGATGAGTTTGAGCTGGATGTATTTGGTATTGATATAGTTGATTGTTGTTGTTCCTTCTATTTTCGACGTCATTTAGCTTGAATTGCTGCTCTGTTTTTCTTCCATTCCTTGTCAAACTTCTTTGATAGAATTCGTTTTATTCTTATTCTTTCAGCATAAGCCTGTTCTTTAGACATGAAATTTTTGTCCCTAGATCGTTTAATCTAAAACTGTAAATTATCTATAATCATGAGTTAAAACTTTTTGTGACACTCAAAAAGGCGGATTCAAAGTACACTGGAGTCGTATATAAAATTAATACGTTACTTTGCAAATACTGGTCTTCTAAACCGTTGATCTAAACCCTTATGGTAGTTGTTATTCGAATAGGCGACCACGTTCATACTCTAATGCACTAAACTTATTTTAAAACCGAGTAATTTTTTTCCGAAAGTATAGATAGAATTATTTTTTACAGCGGGACAATATCGAATCCTGTGAAACAATACCTAATTTGACGCACTTTTAGTTGAAATGTCGCATAATAAAGGTGAGTCTACATGTTTTTAAAAAAAAGGTGAGTCTACATTTCGTCATACAATGTAAATTTCTCGCGAACGGTAAAAGATAGACAGCTGAATTTTTTACTACTTATACAACTCTGAAATCTATATTTATGATAAAAATTTGAGCGAAAACAGATGAGCTGTTCAAAAGTTATTAGCGATGAAATTTGCAAAAAGTGAGTTTACAAAGTGAGTAAAACTTGCATGGTTGGAAAAAGATCATGTTTTTTTAACAAAGAGGAAAGGTGTTCGCAAGATGTTGTTTTTATCAATTTGTTTTCCATCCGACGGTCTTTCTTTTGAAACTCTTTCCGCTTCGTCAAGTCATAGTCAGAGGGAGAAAATTAAAAACCAAGGTGAGTCTACACGAAAATTAATAAGTGTCTGTAATTATGTATTTGAAGTGAATGAATGTGAAAAGAACAATAAAGAAAGACAAAGGATATATCATTTGAAAGAATCTTTCAGGTTGCACAAAATGGACTATTCATTATATTTTTTCTCTTTTTTTTATACTAAGAAAATATCCTTTTCTTAGCACGTGTCCATATAAAATACGATTTTTTCACGGTGTGAGACTTATAAAGTTCTCGACGGTATGAGTTAGAGAGCTGAAATTTTGTGTGGCAGTGGGGCACACAGAGAGTAATAACATGTAAAAAAATTGTCCAAATTGGTTGAGGAGAACAAAAGTTATTAAGCAAATACAGCTAAAATGCCAATCTTACCAAAAAGTTGCAATTCAGTCATATATAAGTCGTATTTCACAGCATTCCTGTGACGAGATTGTATTTGTGCTCGCAACAGATTCTGCCTTTGGTTTGTGACTTTTATAAGATAGGCACCATCCTCTGATAGATGTTCTGTAGTATAGGAATGGGCTTGTTCTAACTGGTATGTTCCCAGTGTTAGCTTCTGTAATTCATCAAAACTGATTTTCCGAAAATTAGCAACACTGTCAACAGCGTTTAGATTAGTCCACTTTGGTTGTTTTTCGTTTTTATCTTTAAACTTTTCAATATAATCTTTTATTTTATTTGTTTCACAAGCTAACTGCAGAATCTTTTCTGCAATTTCTTTATCTTTACTGGTATCCTTAACAAATACTGGTCTGTAGCAATTTATCAAAGCACACACGATTTCGAAAGAGTTGCCTATTTTCTCTATCATCGTATTAGGCACAACATTATTAAAGAAACGCCATTGTTTTACTCGGCCGTTTGCGATTTCTATGACCCAGCGTACTTTAGTAATCAATCGTGTTTTATTTGCTTCATCAGTCGTGTACTGTTTCTAATCCTTCTTCATGAAGAGAGGCATCTTAGTATCATAATTCAATTTCTGTAGATCTGTTAGACAATCACGAAAGCCACGGTCTACAACAATCACATCTCCTGGGTTCAACCAATTTCGAAATCCTTCTACATCATTTAATAGTAAATTTTTTGTTATTTCGGAATCATTGTTTTTTCCATCCGCAAAAAACGGACCTAATGCTGCTATTATATAGCCATCGGACGAAACTACCATCATTGGCTTAACAAGTGGCTTTCCTTTGTGTAGAATAAACGTTCGCCTTTGCAATACGTTATTGTGAGTTTTCTGAATATGGACATATGTCCCATCCAGTATAATTATAGCTTTGTTCGGATCGTCATTCGCCAGTAGCTGCTGAGCTAGTAGTCGTGTGTGCTTTTGTATGACATCTGTTCTTGTTATATGTCCAAAATCTAAATGTTTTGGTACAAAATACTGTGTTAATGCAGAAGAAGCGCTGTCTAAAATTCGACTGATTTGCTTTTTTTCTTTTAAACCGAAGAGTGTGCATAATGCTTGATGACTCAAACCTAACCGAAGTTTAACTAATAGAACGGCAATTACCATTCTAGGTGTTCCAATATCACTATGCCGTAAACTGGATGGTGGTACGTATGAACATAGATCGTTAAACTGATCTCGAGTTAAGCCTGTCAAGACATGATAGTTTTGATCACTCATTGGCTCTTCATCATCGTCGAAGTTCAGTGGTGTTCGATCTTTTGGTTCGTTTAACTTTTTTTCTTTATTTTGTATTTCCTGTTTTAGTTCTTGAAATAATTCTATCAACTCATCACGAGTGATTGTTGACATATTTAATTTCTTTTTTTTAATTATTTCGATACTTTTTTGACTTATTTTACCATCAATCAAATGACTCATACAACATCTACTATTCTCTGGTATGTAAACCAGAATTGTAACCGGTCCGGACCGGTGGAGGTCATTCAACCGGCTGGAATTTACCGGTTTTTTGCCGGTTACAGATTGTTGACACAATATATTAATTCTTTTTTTTAGAAGAGTACTGCATGCCTCTTCATGCTTTTTTAAAGAAAAGGAGTACAATTATTTTTAAATATAAAATTTTCAAAGTTATTTCTTCTTAATGTTTTCCAAAGAAAAAATAAAACTATCTACTATTAAAAAAACAAATGAACTGTCACATATGATGCACTTATATGCTTTTATCGTTTTTTTTTCTGAAGTTAATCTAATTTTGTTTTGACATGTTGTTACATAAGTGCGATTAAATTAAGAAGACAAAAGAACACTAGATGTAATTGTACGAATACAACTATATATGGAATAAATTTCGACAATTTAAACAAACACATTCATTATCATCGTCGTACTAACGTTGAAGAATAAAATCTTCAAGCTACATTAAATATTTTTATAAATATTAATTTTTGTTATTAACTGACTGCGACTAAACAATTGATCTACATCTGCATTCTGGTCGTATTTTCATAACTTCGAATTCAACAGAACTATATAAAATAATATAAGTTTTTTATTGTCATCTTAATTATGAATACAGATGATCTTACGGCACAACAAATTCAATACAAATTAAAATCCAAAGTTTTTGAATTAGTTACAAACGAAAAAGATAACAATGCAATATGGAAAAATGATATATCTTTAATTGGAAAAAAAGATGAAAATGATATAATTCAATTATTGGAAGGATGGGCAGCATGTAATCAGTGTTACATGGCCTACAGAACACATTCCAAATCAGGTATTGATGGTAAACGGAAGAATTTTGGATTAAATGGTATACATGATCATTTAAAACATTGTAAATGGAAATCAAAAGTGAAATCAACTGATAACCAAGGACAAAATAATCAAACAACAACATCTGTCATTCAACCCAAATTTGCTTTTCACAAGAAAGGATTGCCACAAAAATATAAATCAAAACTTAAAGATGCTGAATTAAAATTTATTGTTGGCGGTTCACATTCATTTAATTCATTAGAGAATAATGGTCTTTTGAATTTAGTTCAAACTAGTATTGAAATAGGTGCTAATATTGGTTTAGTAGATGTCCATGATATTTTTTATGGAAGACAAACGATTAGAGAAGAAGCATTATCGAAGTTTGAACAATATACTGATCAAGTACGTTCTTCGTTACAAGAACCAATCAAGCAACATTGTGTTGCTGCAACAGCTGATCTTTGGACTGATGATTTAATGAAAAGAACTTACTTAGATTTTACTATCTTCTTTGTTAATGATATTTACGAATTAAAGCATACATTATTACGATGCAAACATTTCGAAGAAGAAAAATCTGGAATTAATATTTGGTATGAAATTGAAGAGATCTTCAAGTCATTTAACTTATCATTTGGTGATACACCTATTACTACCGATCAAGGAGCTAATATGATTAAAGCTTTAAGTCTAACTGATGAAGCAAGATATCATTGTTTCGCACACCGAACCAATACTGTTTTGGAAACAGCATGGGAAAATTTAAAAACAATCAATATTAAATTTAAAGACTTCTGCACTGCAGTTGCGAAATTTCGCACTTATGGTCAATAAAGTAGTGGAATTCAATTTAAATTACCTAAAACATTGAAATGTACAAGTGACACTCGCCCATGGCGCTCATATTTTCTTATTCATAACAGTTTATATCAATCATACGATACATTACTGGCTTTATTACGTCAACGTGGTGAACAACATCGACTCTTACATATTAGTCCACAATTATTATCTGAAATAAGTAAGTTTATGAAAAAATGTTGTTTGATTTTCGATAATTTAGAGTTTTCAAATCGGCCTACACTCTAAAAAAAATGGTTTTTTTATCGAACCCCCAAAAAAGGTTCCGGAGGTGTCTAAAAGCGTCCAAAGATGTCCAAAGTCTGAAAAAAAACGGATAAAAAAATCTACGAAAGCTTTAAAGGTTCTTACCGTGTACCCAGGATAAGAACCTTTTCCTGCGAAACCCTTTTTTTAAGTTCCGTACAGCAGAAAAAGGTTTCGTAGGAAAATACGGAACCTTTAGAGTTCCATATTAAACCCTAACAGTTTTGTACTAAACTCTCATGATTACATAGAGTTTAACACGAAACTCTAAAGGTTTCGTATTTTCCTACGAAACCTTTTTCTGCTGTACGGAACTTAAAAAAAGGGTTTTGCAGGAAAAGGTTCTTATCCTGGGTACACGGTAAGAACCTTTAAAGCTTTCGTAGATTTTTTTATCCTTTTTTTTTGAGACTTTGGACATCTTTGGACGCTTTTAGACATCTCCGGAACCTTTTTTGGGTTCGATAAAAACCGATTTTTTTTAGAGTGTACTATTCAATATGTTATTCCAAGCTACTTTTTAATGCTGGAATATTGCAGTACAGATGACAAACGCAAAAATTCAATTATCAATTTGTTAAAAGCTGAAATTGCTAAAGAACTTGTTGATAAATATTGGACTTCAACAACACAATTGCATTGGATCGCAACTTATCTAGATCCATTGTTCAAAGATTCATTCTTTGTTACAGAACCATTAATTTTAGAGAAACAAAAGAAATTAATCAAAGAAGGTATTCATATTTTGGCTAATGATTACAAGAACGCTATTTTACCAACACCATCGCTATCAATATCACACGAAACAATTTCACCACCAACAAAAAAGAAGAAGGAAGATCTCATGTAAAAAAAATCAGAAAAAACAAGATTTTAATCAATTTTTAAACCAAAATCACAAAAAATCGATTAAATTGGTCATTTTCTGATTAAATTCGATGGAAAAATCGATTTATTTCCCAGTAACCACTTTTAATCGATTTTCCTTCCATAAATAATCAATTTTAATCGCTTTATTTCATCGTAACGGATTTTAATCGATTTCTTCGAACCACATAATCATTTTTAATCCATCCGATTTTGAAAAATTCGTTTTAATCCATTTATTTCACTGTAATCGATTTTAATCCATTTTCGTGCCAAATATAATCAATTTTAATCGATTATTTTTTGAAAAATCGACTTTAATCGATTTATTTTTTAGCAATCGATTTTAATCGGTTTCTTTGCTACATATAATCAATTTTAATCGATTCGATTTTGAAAAATCAATTTTAATCGATTCATTCCATTGTAATGGGTTTTAATCGATTTCTTCGGACCATATAATCATTTTTAATCGATTAGATTTCGAAAAATCCGTTTTAATAGATTTATTTCCTAGTAATCAATTTTAATCCATTTTTATCCCATACATAATCAATTTTAATGATTAGTTTCTGAAAAATCAGCTTTAATCGATTTATTAACTAGTAATCAATTTTAACCAATTCTCTTGCTGCATATAATCAATTTTAATCGCTTTATTTCGGTGTAATAGGTTTTAATCGATTCATTCGAATCATATAATCATTTTTAATCGCTTTATTTCGGTGTAATAGGTTTTAATCGATTCATTCGAATCATATAATCATTTTTAATCGATTACATATTGAAAAATCAATTGTAATCGATTTATTTCATAGGAATCGGTTAAATCGATTTCTTCGAACGATATATAATCGTTTTTAATCTATTAGTTTTTACAAAAATCGATTTTTTTCTGGAAAATTTCAAATAGTCGACTAAAAATCTAATCGATTTTAATCGATTTTTTGAGGTAAATCAAATAATCAATTAAAAATCTAGACGATTTTCATCGACTTACCTTGGTTTTAATCGATTAATCAAGAACTTGAGCAATCTCAATTGAAATGTGAAACATAATGAAGCTGCTTGGATTGTAAAATACGGTCTGTAATGGTCCCGTAGTGATGTTTGTCACTGTCTGTGACGGCCAATCAGCGTTGCTAGGGATGTCTGTCATGATCTGTGACGGAACTGATGTTGCTAAGGTGTCTCTTACGGTCTGTGATAAACTGTTGCTAAGGATGTTTGTCATGTCTGTGATAAACCGTTTCTAACGTGTTTGTCACGTCTGTGACGACTGTTTGCTGAGATGTCTGTCACGTCTGTGGAGAGGGCAGTGCGTGAGGTGGGCGGGTGGATGCAAATTTCTACCCTATACTCTTCAATACTCCTTTTAGATCGTGTTTCACAAAAACCAAGGCTGGAAATAGGATTAAAATCGATTTGTCAGTGAAAAATCGCAAAATATTGATTAAAAGGCGTAAAATCTGATTCAATTCGAGCCGTAAATCGAGTAAAATGGATTAAAACCAAGAAAAATCGATTAATCTCAGGCATAATTGATTTTTATCGGTTTTTACTCAGAAAAATCGATTTTAATCGATTAATGAAGTAACTACGCAATCTCAACTGAAACAATTTTTATATCAGTTCAAATATTATGGTATTTGTCGAGTTTCAGCTTCATAGTTTATTGCCACGGGGAATCCAAAAAGAAATGAATAGATTAGGGTTCCGTGTTCGAATCTCAAGAAAAACACATATCTTCGATGTATATGATTAAAATCGATTACGAAGTAAGACTCAATTAAAATTGATTATCAAGTAAGAATAGCGCAAAATCGAATAACAGGTAAAAATAGATTAAAATCGAAAAAACAGGTAAGAATAGATTAAGATCGGACGATGGGTAAGAATGGAATAAAACCCAAAAGTATTGATGTAAAAATCGGAACGATCTGATATTAATTTTATTTTTAATCGCAAAAATCGATTGTTGACGATTTTTCATTACATAATTGATTTTTGGTTATTAAAACAGTAGCTACTGGGACTTCTTTTTTCTGGATTTATTGGGATCTTTCAATAAGTCCGTAAGCACTGTGAGATAAATCCCATACAGTTCCTCACTACATACAGAATGTGGATGAGGGTGTGGATGAGAGTATGGGTGAGGGTGTGGATGAGAGTATGGGTGAGGGTGTGGGTGAGAGTGTGGATTTGGGTGGAGGTGTGGGTGTGGGTGATGGTATAGGTGCGAATGTGAGTGGGGATGTCGATGTGAGTATATTTGGATAGCACCAATATTGACGAATCACAATAAGTCCTCAATAAAGAAATAAGTCTCCTAGAAAAAAATAAGTCCCCGGCAGTCCCTCGATTAATTCTTTCCTTACTTTGGTTTATATTACAGAATCGAATAGTGTTGTCCGAGATTGATCGATTATTACCGAATAGCATTGGCTTTAATCGATTTTAATCTATTTTTCTCGGTTTTAAACGATTTTAATCTATTTTTCTTTTGTTTAATAGATTTTAATCAGTTTCCCTGAGTGTAATCGATTTTAATCGATTTTTCTTGGTTTTAATCGATTTTAATCGATTAATGATGTAATTGCACAATCTCAATTGAAACAATTTATATACCAGTTCCAACTTTATTGTATTTGTCGAGTTCCAGCTTGATGGTTTATTACAAAGCGGAATTCAAAAGAAATATGAAAAAATTAGGATTCCGCGTTCGAATCTCGAGAAAAACACATATTTTCAACGCATACGATTAAAATCGATTATCCAGTAAGAACCGATATCAAGTAAGAATAGATTACATTCGAAAACGAAAACAGGTAAGACTAGATTAAAATCGAACAACGAGCACGAATAGATGAAAACCCATTATGAAATAATAATAGATTAAAATTGATTTAGGGCTATCCATGTAAAAAATGGGAACGATCTGATTTTTAATCGATTTTTTTCTAATTAATAATCGATTAAAATTTGATTTTTATATGTTTTTTTTTACATGGGATCCTTTTGCAGCAATGCGTAGTGGAAGAACAACAACTTCTTTAATTAAAGTTTCAGCAAATTCATTTACAGATGATGTTGAACGACAAATTCAAATTTATGAGAATAAATCGTATAATTTATCTGAAGACAATAATCCATTGTTATTTTGGCGTGAACAACAACAAACTTTGCCAATTCTATCCAATATTGCGAAATCTGTATTTGTTATACAAGCGTCCTCAGCAGAATCTGAGCGAAATTTCTCAATAGCTGGACAAATTGTTCCAGAAGAAAGATCCCAATTGGATCCTGAATGTGTAGAATCAGTGGTGATATTAAAAGAAGCATTGTTAAACAAGATGTGGCCTACACCAAACTACTACTACTAATAATAATAATAATACTTTTTTTAAATGATTAATTATGAGTAAGATTAAATATGTAATAATTCATGCTTTTTTTGTTTTTTTGCTATTCATACCCTTGAATTTTTGTTTTTCTACATTTGTATATATTGTTTTATATGAATTTTGAATTAAAACAAGAGAAGAAATAAAAATGGCAGATTGATTTGCATGAAAGAGTATCATTTTTCGCACAACGAAATTCAATTTCGAAAAATGTTCTTCAAATTTTTCACATGAAGAATCTACTTCATTGCCAACTATCTTAGTCTCGTGATATTAAAAAAAAATATACTGAGCGATGCTATCTTTACAACACATAAAAAGGAATCGTATAGGCATCTATTGTTACCATGATAAAAATTTTCTTCACTGAACAACATTATAAAATCGCCGGTTTTTCGCCGGTCTAGAAATTTTGTTTTAGACCGGCAGCCCACCGGCCGGACCGGACCGGTCTACTTTTTCTTGACCGCTTACAACTCTGATGTAAACATGATGGTCAAGTAAATAATTGACACGTAATTCATTGTTAATGTCAACAGAACGTGTTTTTTTATTTCCAAAATAGATTTTACAAATTGAACATTTTTGATGTGATTTAAGCAGCCTAAAAAATGGCAAGGTATGAGAATCAACAATAGGAGGCGATGTAGTTGATAAAGTAGCAGCAGTGGAAAAGGATTTTGTATCGGTCATGCCAATGCTTTCTGTTGATAATTTTAATACTGGATCAGTTTGAGTTGCTGCATCAATTTTTTGTATGTCCACATCCATAGTTGAGTCATTTTCAGTTTTCACGCTGTTGCTTGATGTCGTGTTCTTTTTCTTGGCATATAGTTTCATAAAACATGAATTGTGCAGTGGTAATTCTAATTCCAATAATTTATCTTCACTTACATATTGTAATAATTCTTTACAATTTTCGAGATATCGACATCTTTCGTCTTGGCGGAAGACTTTGTTGCATTTACAACAGTTATGCTTCGTTGTAAGTTTATCATTACGAATGATGTTAACGTAAATCACTTGAAATGATTTACTTGAAAATTTTCACACCGAATGTGCAGAAGTAGTTCTAACTAGGACTGTTGGATTTTAACTTTCACACCGGACGTGCGAAAGTAGTCCTCCTACCCAGGTCGAGCATTACGACGGCCGTATACCCTCTTTCTGAGATCTCAATGAGATTTTTTTGAGACCTTTTTGAGATCTCACGGAGATATTTCTGAGCGGGTATGGGTAAGCGAGAATGCTCGGGAGGGTATGGGTCTCCTCTTTGCTGTTCCTCAGAAACAGATTTTCGGCATTTGATTGGTTCCAAAACGGATCAGTCAGATCCAGGAGGGTGTATTTCTATTATTAGACGGGTAACACATAGCCATGTTCGAGCCGATCCTACGGTTATGAAGGGTGCTCTATTGAATAAGGGGTATATGTATGAGCCGTTTCCGTGCTCTTCACTGAGATATAGGATCTCGGGCTTTGATTGGTTGAAAAACGAACCAATCGGTATAATTTCTCTTATTAGACAGGTGACACATAGCCGTGTTCAAGTCGATCCTAGGGTTATCTAGAGCCTTCTATCATATGGGTCGAACAGCAATATGTTTTGCCCTTATTATAGTAAAGAACCAGCTTGCTCGAATCTTATTGGCTCCTACAATAAGGCTTCCAGCCGATCAGATGATTTCACGTGATTTCCTGTGATTTCAGGTCATTTTAAATTGATTTGTGCTATTGAAATCAGTTTCTTCCCCTTGCCCTAAACCGCTTTCTCATACATGCCATCACGCACATTTTTCTGAAGATACACAACGGTGATATACACTACAGACATATATTCACCGTGCAGCTTCCAAAAGCCCAGAAAAAGTCCTTCACACATGCTACCTCTCCCTATTCTGTAGGTCGAACGAACCTTAACCAGTGGGAAGCTTATAGATATAGCGTGCATCGAATCTCAAAAGTACTGCAGAAAGATATTTAAAATACATGTTATTCCTACCTGCTTTGAAACTAATGAACTTTGATACATGCTGTACTCATATATATGGAGCGCAACGAACCTAAAGAAAACCGAATAAAGATGTTTTAAATAGAGATTAGTCCTCCCTGCCTTGTAAGTCAAATGAGCCGTTTTATGTGGTGCACTCGTATATATAGGGTAGAGAAAGTTTCAAAAAAACTGAAAAAAGATCTTTTTAATACATGTTACTCATACCTGTTTTGTAGGTCGAAAGAGCTCTAACATGTGTTGCACTCATATATATAGGATAAAGAGAGTCTCAAAAAGATTGAAAAAAGATCTTTTTAATATATGTTACTTCTACCTGTTTTGTAAGTCGAATGAACTGTAACACGTGTTACACTCATGTATATAGGTTGGATCGCGTCTTAAAAAGACTGAAAAAAGATCATTTTATCGGATTATTAATACCCAAAAATCGATTTTTGATATACCTTACTGCTACCTGTTCTCTAGTTGGAATGAACTCTAACACGTGCTGCACTTATATATATACTGTGGATAGAGTCTGCAAAAGATTGAAAAAGATGATTTTATCGGATTGTTAATACCCCCAAATCGGTTTTTAGTACATTTTACTCCTACGTGTCCAGGGACTCGAATTAATTGCAGTACGTATAGCACTCATATATATACAGGGTGGATCAAGTCTCAAAAAGAGGGAAGAAGATCATTTTAATCGGATTATTAATATCCGGAAATCGTTTTTGAATACACGTTACTCGGATGTGTTTTCTGGCTGGCATGGTGTCTGATGCGTGCAGCACTCATATATATAGGGATCGCTCTCTCAAAAAGACTGAAAAAAGATCACCTTTATTGGATTGTTAATACTCAGAAAATGATTTTTAATATATGTTACTCGTATCTGTTTTTATCACTCGACTGAACTCCAACAAATTCTGCACTCATACATGTAGAATGATCAATATCTCAGAAACTTTGAAGAAATTCGATGTTTATTGGATTATTGTTACCCAACCCTGATCGAGCTTTACGACGACCAGAAACGACCGTATTTGCGCCGTGACACGTAACTGCTTAAGGCTAACGCAGCCGTATACGATCTTTTTGAGATCTTTCTGAGATCTTTTCTTTCCAAGCATATTAAAGTCTCAAAGTAACTTGAAAATGAGATACCATTCAAAAAACATCTGTTATTAAAATAGCTATTAAAGCTCAAAAAATATCAAAAGAGTCACGTACTATTAGAAAAAACGTACTTGAAGATTTTTGTTCCGTACAACAGATACGATGAATAGGTGGTTAAATGTCGAAAGGGAAAACGTCGAAAGACAAAATGTAGAAAAACATGACGTAGAAAAGCAGATTGTAGAAAAAAAAAATGTCGAAAGTGAAAATGTCGAAAGAAAAATGGCGAAAATGAAAATGTCGAAAGGTAAAAATGTCGAAAAGCGTATTGACGAAAAATAAAACGTCGAAAGAAAAAATGGCGAAAAGGGAAAAATGAAATAAAGAGACGT